AGGCTTGAGAGCTTTCAGTGTGTGTTTCTTCTTTCTTCATATCTATCTATCTTTCTTTCTTTCAAAAGAATAATCTGTGTTGTATTTCTTTTTGCAACGGGTTCGATTCGACTCCCTTTTTATCCTGCAGGCTCCCAAACAAAACAAATGAATCACTCTTGCATCCATCCATTTATTCTGCCTGCCCACAATTCCACTCAGTGATTAAACGATTCGCTTAAAGGAGCAGGACAGACTCCGCTATTAATGATTTTCTGTGCTTCCACAAGGAGATGAATGACTCGCGTCCTTCCCGGTCACGTTGTTGCTCAGCGGTCTGGGGAATAGGAGGAATTGTTTGCTCTTTTCCTCTCCGTCCCCCATGCTTCATCTTTCCTTTGAACAGAGTCAACATTCCCATTCGTTTTCATGATAAGCGATGTGCTAATCATTGTCGTTCGATGTGGGATTGCCGATATGAAGCTGTATCGCTTCTCCTTCATCCCATTGACATTGCGAAGCAGGTCGATGATGGCAGATGAAGAGGCCGATTGCTTTGCTGACCTTCAGGACATACAATTTTATTGTAATAGAAAGAAAAATAGTGGTGGTCGATGATGCAGGGCATTTTGTGTAGATGCTGCATGGTTGAAGTGTAATTGATATCCATGTCACGGGAACTGACTGAAACTGATCATCAAAGGAGGCACAAGCCAATCAGATGGCTTCAGACTCTTCATAATTCACCAGTCAGATGAGACACTTTGCTTGTTATTTACAGGAATGCAGTTTGTTTGCCATCTGCTCTCCAGTGTTGGTCACGCCATGATACATGCGTACACAATGCCATTAATATTTAGGGAGTGTTTGTATGTGATATGGACTCCTCCGTCATGATCCAGTGCAACATATGCATTTGCTTGATAGCGGCAGCATTTGTGCTTCATACTGTGAGATTAATTAAAGTTGTGCCACGATCACGTTGAATTTAATGAGAATTGTTTGCCTCTGACAGAAGGAACGGCAAAGATTTCCTCTGAATATTCATCTTACTCATGCTGTTTTCTCTCCGTCTGTCCGCTTCTCTGGTGATTTGTCAGTATGTGGGAAAGGTTTTCAAAAACAGATTCAGACATCTTTTTTTTAATGGTATTATCACTGACTTTCAACTCTGCAAGGAGTCAGCAGATTGTACAGTCGTTTGTCTGCTGTTTTACTGAATTGGGCTGTTTTTTTTTTAGTAAAGCTGGAGATACAACATTTGTTGCTTGATGGACAATAAATTGTTTCATGCATGTAGTCTTGTTAATAATGTCCTATATGAACATGTTTTGCATTAATTTTCTCTAGATTTAAATTTTTTTTCTAGAAAATTGTATTTGAATATGTTGCAACTATACTGTCGTCGCTGGTTGGCAAATATGTTGTATGAACCTTTCAATGTAAAATTTGCATAGGAGGAGAACATTTGGCATTCTAACTTAAAACACCTGCTTTCAACAGATTAATTCATATTCATAAACACATTTATTAAGTTTAAAATTAGAAAACCAGTCGATGTAAAGCTCCACTGCATATATACAGCAGTCAAAGGAAAAAAAAAACATAAAAATCATGACTCAAAGAGCCCAGGTAAAGTTAATACTGCTCTACACAATGGTGATGTTTAGTATTTTTTGTTAATTTCACTTTGACAGAAATAGTCAAATAGTCGACTCAAGTTAGTAATACTGTAAGTGAAGCTGCTGATGCTGTTTGTGGAGTTGTTTAATGATCCTTATGAGCTGAGGTTTTGAGAGATTTAATGAGTTTTCAGTTGAGTTCCCCTAAGGCCATGTCCACATGTTATTTTTGTAAACAAAAACAAAACAAAAACTTCTCCATTTTCTAAAAAACACAGACCCTGGCACTTTTGAAATCTTCACCCTGAGAAATTTGGGTTACAGTGTTTGTGTTTTAGTGTGTTTACACAGTCAAACTGTAGAAAAAGCTGTGATTTAGTTAATTCATACACTGTAAAAAAATCCATAATTAAAAAAAACATTAAAAAACATGTTAAATTACAGAAGTTTACTAGAAATTTGAAATTAGTACATTTCTGTTATCTAACGTCCGTTATTTTATGGTAAATTTCTGTAATTTAACAACTGTTATTTGTTTTTCCAGCCCATTCGCAGAATTTTTTTAACAGTGTTTGTGTGTACAGCAGGGTCTAATGTTGTGGCTGGTTACAGGTTTAGTTTTCTGTTTTCTTTAGTGATTTTGCTTTTCAACAGTAGGAGTTTGTTATTTTTTGTTCTATCAGCACTTAAACTCTGCTCCAGTTTTTAACTCTCTTTGTGGGATTGGGACCAGTGGGAAAACTTAATTTTACTCTGAGGATTTTGCTGTGCATCAAATTATGTATAAAAATTCTTTAAAATAAAGATATCAGTTAAAGGGTTAAGATATTTTTAGATGGGGTATTATAAAGCAAAAAACATTAAACACGACCAATATCCTTGATTTCTTAAATTATTAACACATTAATCCTCGGTTTCTCATGATTTATGTACTTACAAGGTATTTGCCCACCGATACCAATAGTTGCCACATTAACGTTGGACAAAGTATTAAAAAAACTATATATTTATTTATTTATTAGTTTTGTTTGGATGAATCTAAAGACCCTCATGATAATGTTGATATATATTTGTAAACAAAACATATTTTTTAGTAACATAAAAATTGTGTTATTTAGGAGGGTTTGCCTCCATTTCGAATCTTGAAATTAGGGATTGGAAGTTGAAAGCCTCGCGTGACAGGAATTCAATCAATTCCTTTTACTTGGTTGTTTGCTTGCATGCCATTTAGAAATTAAACATGGAAAACATGTTGAAAATTACTTGGGTTAAAAAGCACAGTAAAACAGTGTTTTTATGGCAGTTTTTTCTGTTATTTTAGACAAGACTTTGTCATTGACAAAACACAAGTCAACGTTGTTCTTATGATCTTTCACTTTAAACTAGACCTGTATGTATGTATTGCGATGGGGAAAGACGTGAGGACACGTTGGATCCAAACGCAGTATTTATTCGGAGAATGGTCGGACAGGCAGGGGTCGAAAACCAGAATAAGGAACAATATAAACAAATCCAAAGCATAATCCAATTCACAGGCAAAAAGGTCGAGACAGGCAACAAAGAATCACAAAACAGAAAACAAAAACACGGAATAACATTGGAATAAATGAATAAAAGCTACAAACTAACATGACTCTGCCATGGGAGACTGTGTGAGTGGTGTTTAAACATTGTGTGTAATGATCTGCATCTGTGTGTGTGTCAGTGCCCAGATGACTATCAGCTGTTGCAATAGATGATTGGCCCAATGTCTCATGGGAGGTGTAGTTCGGCAGAGTACATAGAGTGATCTCTACTGAGGCCAACACCACTGGTGATCACATCAGTATGATGCATTATAAGGGCATTCTAAATGTGTTAGAATTCATGCATTATTCTAGACCTGCACAACTAATAATGCAAGCCCCTATTCATTACAATGGAGAAAATAAAAAGCTGTAGACACCATCTCTGCTCTGCTTCTCTCTCACAGCCCTTTCTGTTGATTGCAGCAATACAATGACCAATCACAGGTGTTTAAGAACTCTCTCGACAATGCTCAATATTTACATTTATTTATTTGCTATGAACACTCATGTTGTTATTGTGCGTGTACTTGTTTTGTTTGATGCATTCAAAAAGAGTTTTTCTTTAAGAAGGTCAAATTAAAGGGACATTTCATATATCTGACTGCTGTGTAGACCGTTTCAATGTATCGATGTCATTGGCCCGTAAACATTTACTGCTTGTTGTAAAACTATTTCGTAACTATAACAAGATGCAATTTAATCATATCTTAACATTAAAACAGCTGTCATAACATTATTTAGCAATATGTGGACCTTTTTGGATTCTTGGAATCTATGGAAATTAAAAATGTAATCCAGGAAATACGTTAGGACCATTGTTATTGTTTACAGCCCTTAAAATGATCTATTAAAGGACAAAACTTTTACAAAAAATATATAAATATAAATGTATTTAATTGTTTTACATTTTAATACAATAATTCTTGTGCTGTGAAGTAAAGTCTAAAATTGTGCATGTGAAAAATTGTGAATGTGTAAAGCTTTGTCAGTGCACCGTGAATGTCATGAAATCAATATGAAAAATGGAACAATCTTAATTTAATGGTTTTATATATCTGTATATAAGATTTGATATATCATTTATTAAATTGAATTAAAAGTAGCGTAGATATTTTCTTAATTAGTCATGACAAACTTGAAAACTTTGAAAAAATGGTCTTAAATAAACAAAAGCATAGTGTAGCGCACTTTGTGATTGTGTGTTTTTTTTTGTTTTTGTTTTTTGGTGCTGTTAAAACCACCACATCAAACCTGGAGCTCTTTTATGTTGTGTATATATATATATATATATATATATATATATATATATATATATATATGTGTGTGTGTGTGCGTGCGTGCGTGTGTGCGTGCGTGTGTGTGTGTGTGTGTGTGTGTATTTTTTTCTCCAAATCATGCAGCCCTACATAATTCCTCAAAACCAGTATTGGAATGTGACTTATTATTTAATTAAAAATAATAATATAGCAGTAATAATACTGCATTAATTACAAAAAAATAAACAATTGTAAGTTATAATAAATAACTAGTTTCATCTTTTTAAATTTTCTACATAATATTCACTATTTACAAATATAGAGTATAAACAATTATGCATGCATCAATGCAGTTTAATAAGTACACTTGTTTAGTCTTTAAACTGTTGTTATAAATATTTATCATATCATAAAACAATTTAAAGGGCATTTTGCATGCATTAAATTAACTGTGTATAAAGCACTTTATAAGCAGGCTTCGCAAAAACTTTTTTAATATATATAAACTGCATAATTCGTTGCCGTTTTACTATCAACTTTGATAGCCCTAACGACATCATTTTTTTTTTTCACAGACCCCCTCCGAATCCTTTCGTGGCCCCATGAGGTGTTTAAACTCTGGTTTAAAGGTTGCAGATTCTGTAAGTACCTTCGAATCCACAGGCTCCAACAATCAGTGACATCTCTCAGAGAGAATTCTGATTGTGTTTTGTTGGACACACACACACACACACACACACACATATATATACTGTACATGCAAATGTGTCTGCTGTAGATGTTCCCTTTACCTGTTGTGCTCAAACCCTCTTGGGCTCCTCAGTTATCAGCAAAGACAGCTCACTGTTGGCTTTCATTAGTTGTTGGAGTGTCAGTGTGAAGCTGCCCATGGACTGAGTAGGCGTTGAAGCTGTCTCCATTCTGAAATGTTTGACAGCAGCTCAAACAGAAAGAATGAAAAAGGCACACAAGAAGGTGACCGTGCACCAAAACTGAAGCACAGATCTTTCTCTGATTTTTCTGATGTGCGGTTGACTTATTTCTGCTGTGCAAGCGTGTCAGATTGATTGGCCTGATCTCTGCATGAAGAAGTGGCAGAAAGTTCCAGAAGGTCAGCGAAGGTAGACGAATGGCGTAAGAGGTTGAGGCGGTAAAAGTGACTCATGGGAGTTTCATCTCAATTACACGCTCCCATGGGTTGTCATGGGTCAATTTTTCTTCAGTTTATTTCAGTCAACTTTTATCCACACCTACAGACATAACAGACAACAAGAGACATCTGAAGCCAATTTTTTTTAGAACATGGAAAATTGAAGGTTGTTTATGTGTTTGTTGACCACTCTTAGAAAATAATTTATTTTAAACTAAGACAGGCTTAAAATTCAGCAAGTAATTGGCTTGTTTGACACCTCTAGACTTTGTTTCATGTGCTGCTTGTACTGAAAAATTTGAGCAAACACTTCAGCAAAGTTGAACCCATTGATGCAGTTAACATTACTGTAGGTGGACTAAACACGCTTGAATAAATCAATAACCTCTGCCTTTCTGTGGTATTAAGTGCTCACTCGGGGAGGAAAAGGTGGGTGAGTTTATTTTGGAGTGTAATAACAGGTCAACACTGACTAGAGTGACACTGGCCTCCAATTAAAAAGTAAAATTTCAATAATTGTCATGTCACATCAAGCAACACCCTGAGGTCGTGAAGGAAAACAAGCTGTGAAATTAAGCCTGTTTTGACTTGTGTCTCTGCGATAGCACAATTTAAGACATTTAAATAGACATAATGTTTCTAAGTAATTGCACACTGCTACGTTCAATAGCAAGACCTTTGGAGGTTGAGCGCAAAGATATCCATTACTGAATCGAATGTTGATTCATTTACTATGCGCTTAATGGAACTCATGGGTAAACGAGCATGTCGTAATTAATTTACGGCCCATTTGAAACTGCGAACTGAACCTTAGTGCTAATGTGAGTAGAAGATGTATTGCTAGAAAAGAATGGTCATCGTTGTTCATGGTATTTCTCGTTTATTGCTTCGGAAGGACCTTTATGTGGCTTTGTAGTATGTGTTGGCGCAAATACATTAATAGACATTAAGAGCCAATCAAAGCTTTTTCTGAAGGTCATCCACAATGACTGTTTGAATCCATGAACATGCTATAGGTAATGCACCGTTTGACCTTTTTATTTGAAGGTCTTTCCATTAGGTTTACATTCTCAAATGCCATTCCAGACAATATTAATTAAATGAAGATTGAGTTTCCCAGCATCATCACTTTGCAGGATTTGAGCCATGAAATTAAGAATTTTATTTATCTGAACAATTACTTATTGATCACCTCTGGTAAAAAAAAAAAAAGAAAGAAAATCAAGTTTTTACATTGTTTGTCTAGCATATAACCTAGCATTAAAGTATGTGCAAATTCATCAGCACCACTTATGAACAGTTCCCCCCTAAAGGTGCTGTTTGTAAGTTTTTGACTAAAGCTAAAAAATACCATAATATGTTTGCAGATATTTGAGAAACGTGTGTGAACATTCTTTTTTATCTGAAAAGCAATGCTAAAGTCAGATATTCTGCTTTGAAAATGTTAAGAGGTAAGTCGCCCACTGCCAGTATAGCCAATTATATTTAATATTCCCCGTGTTGTCTTCATGGAAAACAGCGTATTTGACTCATTCAGTCAGAAAGGCTCTCAAAGCAGGTGCTCACTACTGAAATGCGACCACCGGTGGACAGTAACAGCCTCCGAAAAATTACGCATATTCAGACTTCCACATGAGGTGGTTAATTAGCAAATAATATAAATATTACGAAAGTAACCATTAGATGAGCAGGTTATATTGAAATACTGTGTCCCAACAACATGCAACCTGACAAGATTTGCAGTGATAAGCAATTTGGCTGTTTGCATTAGATGAAAAACAAAAATTTAAATACAGCCATGCAGAAGCACAGAATAGTGCACTCACTGCACTCTAGCAAAATAGTAAGGTTTACAATCTTATTAGTATATATTAAACCTCTTTAACATTATTAAATGTATATGCTGAATGACTGATATGTGAGGGTTTGCACTGAGTTGAAGTTCAGAAGGTCAATTTCAAACAGTTTTATTTTCAAGATCTGAGGTGAACTGTTGCTGCTTTCTGTAGTATGGCAATAAATGTGTAGTAAAATGGTGTTCAAACTCACATCATTGCATTTAACACTGAATAAAGCACACGAGGTGTAGCAGAGGTGATCATTGTCATATAGAAGCCGTTTCTAAAATATAAATTTCAGGTGTTGGTTAGGACAAAAACTTTTAAAATGGTAAATATTTCTTCTATCCTTCTCTTTTAGTTATAAAACAGTTCAAATCAGCCTTTAGGCTTGATAGTCAAGCACACTCACATCAATCTGGCAACCTGCGCTTGCGCGGACTCGTCAGAGGAGCTGAGTGAAAATGAGTTTTGATCCTGAAGTGCAATACCTAGTTCAACCACTGGGTGTCAAACTTACATTCGTCACTTTTAAAAATGCAATAAACAAAAGATTTGTATGGTGTTTTTAAAGATGAATGTATGCCTTTCTCACTGACTTTTTGATCATTTTGTCTTAACCTACACTGAAAAAAAGTGTTGCATGCAGAACTGTTGCAAACAATTTATTTGTGTTGAACTTAAACAAACAAATTTAATTAAAAAATGTTCAACCTAATTTGTTTGTTTAAATTCAGTCCAAATAAATGGTTTACAACCACTTAACGTAAAAAAAATTGAGTAAATCCAAGGAATCATCTTTGAATAATTTTTTTCAGTGTAAGAATGTTGATTTGTAAGGTAGTTGTCCGAGATAATAAATGGAAATGAGATTTCTGAAAGATAGAAATGTTTTGATTGATTGGCATGATGTTCTCCTCTTGTTCTTTGTGCTCAGTTTCTTGTTCAGTCTAATATGGCCAAATTGATCACATTTTGCCTTAACTTTAACTGAGTGAAAACGAAGCAGATAAACTAATCTAAACTAAAAGTGGAGGTGAGAACTAATTTGAATATTCAAAGTTCAAGATGCTGTTATGATCAGTGTTTCTCAACCACGTTCCTTTTAAACCATCAACATTGCATGTTTTGGATGTCTTTCTTATCTGTTACACCCATTAGGCTGTGGTCACACTAGAATTTATACGTGTAAAATTCCGTTGTACGGTGCTGCAAAAAAGGGTGGGATTACACAAGATGTAATTAACATTAAAATATGCAAGCAATTGGTTCATGTTTATAATTCCTGTCCAGAGAGGTCATGTTTTGGTCTTCTATTGGTCTCACGCAATGATGTGATGCTATTTCGCAGGTCTGAGTTCACCAAGCTTGAACTTTCCAACGCAGCGAACTGCGAAACCTGTCGCACGAGCTTGCATTTCCGGTTTGACGCATCAGTGTATGTATGAATGAAAGTCTATGGAGAGAATAGTGCAGTGTGACTGCAGCTTAACAGTCTCTGATAGTGAGCTAATGATCTGAATCAGGTGTGTACTGTATGATTAAGGAGACTTGGAAAATGTGCAGAGCGGGTGGTCCTCTAGGAGCGTAGTTGGAAAACACTGCTGTAAATGAGATAAGGGTGTAGAAATATATTCAAGTCAGTTTAAACATAAAGAAATGCTTTTCATTGATTATCACAGATGAATTTTAAGGGATAAAACAAGTGACCGCAGGGAAGTCATTAAAAATGAACCCCCTTTTAAATTTATAAAGTGTTCCGAGAAAATGACCAGTTAAAATTTCAGTTCAAACGTAATGCAATTAAACTGCAATCTCAGTACCGAGCAGGCGTCCAATAAGGGGTTCTCCGGTCTCCTCATTGTGCATGCTGTGTGTCTTCAGTCTGGTCCTCACAGCGCCTGCAATGTGGAGGCTAGGGGACTCAGAGACAGCAGATAAACAACACACACAGAGCCAGTCGAACAGCAGCCGCTGCTGAAGTCAAAGGTATCCATTATGTTTTATTTTGCTGTTAATGTAGCTTGTGGAAAACACCTGGTAATTAGATTGAAGTGAACTCCTGCCCTCATTAATTTAGGACTTTACGTTTCAAACTGTTTTTTTTTCTACATCGCCTAACTTTTTTTTTTACGTGACCTCACAACTGTTTTCATCTCTTATAAGATTGCTTTGTGTCAATCAGCAAAAGAGTTCACCTCGGCAGCTTCAGATGGAAATTGGTTTTCAGCTAATTATCAACACAAAAGAAAGTGCTGTCTGTTTTTCAGTTAAGGGATGTTTTCAACCCCCTTTTTTATTAAAATGGATGAATAGGAGATATTTTGCGTAATAAAGTCTTTTCAAGTGTTAAACCCGGGTCACGTCGCTGATTAATCAAAGTTTTCCGCTCGGTCTCAAAGAAAGAATGCAGGCATTCATGATGCTTTTGAACTGCTTTCTGAAAGTTTGATTAAAAAGATGTTTTTAAAAACTCAAAACAACCTTTGTGCATTGATGTTTATTCCAAATTTCAGAGCAGTCACGCCAGCCACTCTATTATTCACACACATCAATGCAAATTGATTGCTATCAATTGTAATTATCACTTAGTTCACCTAAAAATGAAAGTTCAGTCATCTTTTGCTTGTCATCGCCCTTCACTTGTTTCAAA